TGTTAGTTGATAAATCAATTAATGATGATGTCTAATAATATAAAGATAATTACTTGGAACGTGAATGGTTTGTCAAACCCTGTTAAAAGAAAGAAATGTTTATGTTATCTTAAATCTCAAAAGGCAGACGTGGTGTTTCTGCAGGAAACTCATTTGACAGATATGGAAGCTACTAAACTTAAACAAAATTGGATAGGTCAGTCTTTTTTTCAGTTGTTTTTCTAGTCAGAAACGTGGAGTTGCAATTTTAATTCATAAGAGGCTTAATTGTGTACTGTCGAACCAATATAAGGATGAGGAAGGGAGATTTACATGTGTAGAAGTTAAGATAAATGGAAGCAAGGTAAATCTGTGCAATATATATGCCCCAAATACAGAAGATGCCAATTTCTTCTATAAAATCAATAAACTGCTAGGTGATATTGGTAATGGACAAACAGTGCTGGGGGGGATTTTAATCAGGTTCAAGATGGCATACTAGATAGATCAACCTACAGCAAAAGAACCCCAAAGGACTGACAGTCAATACACCAATTGGTGGAAGATCATGGCCTAGTGGATATATGGAGATTGATTAATCCTAGAGAAAGAGAATTTACTTTTTTCTCTCATAAACACAAATCAACCTCAAGGATTGATTATTTTTTAATTTTAAAATCTATGAGTGATGCATGCATTGCTTGAAAATTGGGGCTATTGCGCTTACTGATCATGCAATGGTGATGCTTGATTTAGTAGTTGGTGAGGAGTCAATTAAGAGCAGCAGATGGAGATGTAACACTTCTTTATTTCAAGATCCAGTCTTTAAGGAAATGCTAGATGAAAATATTAGATCCTTCTTTCAGATAAATACTGGTTCTACTGAGAAACTCAGCACTGTTTGGGATGCATCTAAAGCCTTTATTAGAGGTAAAATTATTGCATATTCAAGCAAAAAGAAAAGAGATAATAATGCTAAAATGATTGTTAGAATCCCAACACACGGAACTTTTTGATGACTGTAGTAGTCTCTGCATGTTTCTCCTGTTTGTAGAAGAGCATCAAACTAGCTGGTAGCCCATCTCACACCGCTGTAGCAATCCTATACTGCCCTCGTGCGGTTAGGAGCTGAATTGCATGTCAAATAAAGGGGGTAAATAAGATGGCGAATAGTAATAGTTGCGTTGAAAAATCGATTTTTCAAAATAAAACGACTATTTGAAAATTCGAAAATCGTGACCAATCCCTAGTCACTTGCATACGTAAAAAAAAATGTTCTTGACCCATATCCAGTGAATGCATGTCCAAATAGTAATGTATCCCTGGGTGATGTTCCCACTTATTGGAATAATGATTATAGACAGCAAAGGATTACCATGATGAGATGAACCTAAATGTGAAGTGATCCTAAGGGATACTGTTTAACTGACTTACTTGATTGTGATTCCATTGTGTTTGCTGTCTGATTATGCTCATGGTAAGAGCCACGTGCTCCCGCCACCTACAAAACTTCCTGTTCACCTCTAACCTGAAAACACCTCACTAGCATCAACTGACCAGTGTCATCTCATAGACTAGGTACCATCCTGTGGTCAAAATGTTGTAGTCTAAAAATACATACACAACTACCTACATACTAGGAGAAATAGAAATATCCTTCAATGTTCCTACACAAACTGTAAATGCAATTTGTAAAAAACAGGGCAGGGCAAATTATTTGCCTCAATGCTTTGTTAAATCCAGTACAACTATACAGCCACTGTGTTTTATGGGGATGTTTATTGCTGTTACACAACCCGCTTATATTACTTACGCTGTAAAGCTTTAAATTAATCGTCAATAATCTGTCTGACGTTTTATAATGATGATTGAAATATCACCATGATAATGGTTTGCAGGTAGGCCTACGTATGATGAATTAGTGGCACAGGCGCTATTAATAGCCACAGCCGCACATAATGGTTGCGTGTAATGACAGCTGTTATGTCGGAGAACCACGCTGGTGCAAGGCAGTCTGTAAAACTGCATTTCTTCTCTGCCGTATTTTTAATTGACAGCTCTAATGAGTGAGGGATCAGGCACAGATATCAATATACAAACTGATTTATGGGTGTTACTGCATCCAGTTATGTCTTACTGTGGGAGAGTAAACAAAGCTTGTGCTTGTGCGCCTAGCTCTACAATGACACACATGAGGCTTTATAAATCCATAAGCTCCGTAAGTTTAACATCCAGCTGTAAAGGGACCTTCAGATAACTTTATCAAGCAGCCAACAGGTCAGTGATCGGGCTAACAGTGGTCCTGAGCGGAGTCTCCATAACCATGGCAACGATGATGCTGAGTGACAGACCTGCCATTATGTGACATTCTCCTCCGCAAATTCTGATTTAATTTTACTCCGCTATGTCTTGTGAAACTCTTTTTTTAAAAAATATTTCTCATGACATTCCCAACATGTGAAAATATAGTCTATGCTGTATTGTGTGCACAAAAATACTGGACAAAATGCGTCCCATATTGTATCAGTAACGGACAGTACATTTTATTTTTCAATATGGGACAATCCCATAATATACGGGATGGGTGGCAACCCTGTTGTCTACATGCCTTGGTGTGGCGCTGGTGTCAATCACATTACTATTTTTTTTTTTTTTTTTTTTAAGATATTCTTGTGAGCATTTTTGCCTTTAATTGATAGGAAAGCTCAGAGTGAAGGGGAGAGAGAGAGATGGAATGACATGCAGCAAAGGCCACAGGCTGGAGTCGAAGCCGGGCCGCTGCGGCAACAGCCTTGTACATGGGGCACCTGCTCTATCCACTTATCTACCGATGCCCCGTCAATCGCATTACTTATCCTCAGTTTTATTATCCTTACTTTTATTCAGACCAGTCAATTAATTAACTATAAAATCTATTAGACTCAGAAAATAGTGACATTACCACCACGCTACTGAGAATGTTGTTATATTTGTAACATGCTACTTGTAGTGAGCTACTGCCCAACACTGATTATTTTTGAATGTGTGAGAAATAGCGGCGCAACATGAGTGCGTGTGAAATTGGTCATTCGCGTGACAGGCCTGACTTTCAAAAAAGGAAACAAATTTGTTGCTACTTTCTCTCATTTCAGAGACAATATATAGATAATATAATAGATATTTCTATTGTCCTTATATAAAGCTAAAGTAATTCAATGAAAACATGCAGTATTTCTTATCCAATTACTCGATTAATTCATCATCATCACTTTAATCTATTTCACATTAAAAACAGTAAATTTATGCAGTAATTAGCCTACTTCTTTAAAGTGCCCCCAGAATTTTATAAATACCCCGGTTTTTTTAGACAGTGGGGGCAAAACGTGCCCACCAAGTATTTTTTTTATTTTCTTACCCTGCACCTAACTACATGTGATCAAGTGTCCTGTGCAAACCAATAACTCTAGTATGGTTACAGGTCAACACCCCTGGCTACAGGAAACAGACCATATCAGGTTAATGTGGTTTGCTGGTCCCCACACTTCAGATATAATGTGTTGACTATAAGCCAGACACAGACAGAAGAAAGCTAGGATACACCAACTAATACACAGAGGGATATTGTGGTAGGTGAGCCAGACTGCAGACACAGCAGCGAACACCAATAATGTCTAGAAAAGAGCAGGTCAGTGGTCCTGTTGTGTGAAAGCTGTGTATTAGGGTTGGGCGATATTGAAATTCCCCTTCTGACAATATATCTTTAAGAAAAACAACGATGTATGATATTATTGTCCAAAAAACAAACAAACAAAAAAAGGTAATTGAAGAGAGAATTGCACAGTGCACCATGTATGTCGTTTTCCCATTAACATGCTGGCTTGGCTTGGCTTGGTTTGGTTTGGTTTGACTTGGCACGTCAGCCCAGCATGGCAGGATTTGCATCTACATTACAAATGAATAAAATCAGCAGACTGATCCGCGTCTAAATCTGCTGCAAGTGTTTTTCCATCACACAGCAGGGCAGGTAAAAGAAGTTCACCTGTTGAAAGTGAGCTGGGTTGTCTGCAGCTCTTCATCTAACATTTCATTGTGGCTGTTTCTGCTTTTACCCTTTCTCCCTGCAGTATTAGACTTGTTTTTATCAAAGAAATGATGCTAACAAAGTTCCGATAATTCAGTGATAAACACATTTCATTTTCTTTAGATTCTTAACAATAAAAGACCCCATTATTTTGTTATGTAAAAGCTTTTATTGTAAAGCAGCAATTGTTGTCAACTCGAGCAACATGAAAGCATGTTAATAAATTACATCAAAACGTCGGTTTCAGTACCCATTCCTGACTGTAGCTGCCTCAGAAGAACAAGTGAGAGCCGCTGCTCAGTGGACAGCTGAGAGGATGAGGATGCAGGCACAAACAGCATGCAGATCAGCATGTTTTCACATTTAACTAAATGAATTAAAGACTTACTGTAAACAAACCACAGTTGGTGATTGTTGGAATGGTGGACTAACTAGATAACTAAAGACTACTTAAGATGGTTTTAGTGAGTTTTATTTAGTTTCTGTGGACTTTGAATAAAGTGTGTTTTAGGTTACATCAACAAGGTAATTAAGCTAATATTAGTGTTCGTGATTGGCGTACGTTTGTATTTTTCTGTTTCATGGGGAAAATGGGTGTAAAAACAGACCAAATCAGAGTTCTCAAACTAGTGAGTGTGACACACTATACGGCCCCACTGACGTGTGTTGTCAACATAACAACAAACAATAATGAATATTTTCTTTTGTACGAGTAAAATGACCACATTAAATCGTTCTGTCTTTTCTGTTCATTCTATTTGTATGGCTGAAGCATAGAGAAAGCAAGAGCAAAAGAGAAGGAGAGAGACTGAATATAGTGCGAAATTCAAAACAGGCCTTGCATAATTGAATGCCCTTGTGTTATCTTGAACAAGTGATGACCATTGTCATTACCAACCATTATTGTTTTGAGCAATAATCCCATCATATCTCCCAAGCCTACTGTGTATGTATCACTCACTCTTTGCAGGCACAGGAGACGTGGGCCGGTACAGTGTATTTACAGTCCATGATCATGGTGAGCGTCTCACTGTCGTTAGCTTCCTGGAACGGTGGCTGGCCACATACCAACATGAACAGGATCACACCCAGACTCCAGATATCTGAGGCAGAGGAAATCAAACAGAAACATAATCTGAATCCATGTGTTTTCTTTTGCTACAGCGTGCATGATCAAACCATACACAAATATTACAAACATTTATTTTGAGTGAGAATGGAGAAATAAAACTATGCTAGATACAAACACTAGTTGTGATGTGGACTAGATATAATTTCACTTTCTCCAAGTTCTCTCTACACAATTATCATAATACATAATTATTACTATCACTATTATTATTACTATAATTATTCATCTTGATGTAGCAGTTTTATTTTGTTTATTTTTTATTTATTGATCATTATTTTTTTATTTTTTTCTCTTTCATCTTATTCTTTTTACTGTCTTTTTGTCTTGTGCTGCTGTGATACCTGAATTTCCCCTCTGGGGATCAATAGTTTATCTTATCTTATCTTACAATATGAAACAATATCATCATAATATGGATTAGAGCTATATGACACCTGGAAAACATGCGATATCTGTGATAATGTTGTAAAATACTGTTATGACAATATGACTTGCAATAGATAAACAAATACTTAAGTATACAGTTTTTAGGTTCACACTGCTAACATAGGCCCCAGACAACAAACAGCCTGTGCACGCTGAATTTAAAGAAATGAAATGCAATGATATTGACAGGTTTACAGTCTAGTGATTCCTCTGGACCCACTGGAGCTAGTTTAAGTGGGTCCCCAATAAAATGTGTTTTTTGACTAATTGTAGCGGTAAACTAGTGTTTGATGGTATGTGGTTCTAATTATGGTTATATTCATGTATGTTGAAAATGTATCTGAAAGTTAAATAAAAACCCAAATCTGAAAACTTTATTTACAAAACTACAGACTGTATATGTATCTTTACATAGTCTCTGTACAAAACACAATGCAAATGTCACATGTTGAGTTGAGCGACCCAGTACAAGGTCAATCAGATGCGATGTACAATACTGATTTGTGATAATCCCATAGAAACAGAATTTCTATGGATACTGTAAGACTTCAATTAAAAGCCTAGTCCCAATTAAATACCTAGTCCCTTTTACTAGCCCAGTGTGGCTAAACATTTTGACAAACAAATGTCTGTTTCAATTAGATGCCTGGTCTGGTTGCCAGGCAGATCATTTTTTTTAATAGAAGTTTTTCAGATGTATAAAACCCGGTTGTTAGCCACATCAAATTATGTGTCCATTCCTTGATTACCCTGTAAATTAAGTGTCCTCAGATCAAAAGAATCAAAAGTTGTTTTTTTTATAAAAATAAACAGCTGAGCAGTTTTGTGTGAAAGGAAGTAAAGGCCTGTCAAATATAGGCCTGTTGATTTCAGTGATTTAAGAAAATAGCCCAGGCTATTAATTGAAATTTTAAGGTAATCAAATTTCTTTTTTAAAAGTTACTATAGAAATGTAATAGTTCAACATTCTGAGAAATATGCTCATTCTCTGTCATTCTGAAGCGTATTTATGTTTTCCTTTTACTTATTGAGATGATCAACAAAACAGGAAACAACACTAGTCTTGCTAACCTCCAACAACATTCCATTTTCCAAAGTAATTCGCCTTTTAGCAAATACAGCTTTGTTTTTAACGGATATTTAAATAACTCTAAAATTAGTATTTTCTAAAATGTTTTTGCTAAGCTCTGGTACATTTTGCACTGTCCATGTATGTAACATTACTACCACCCAGACTAAGCAACTATAAATTTGTAGCTTCAACAACAATGTTGAACATGCACCATGAAAAAAGGGGATTGTTCCTGTAAGCACATGTTATCATTATAACTATATTGCTATTATCATTATCAATTTATTATCATTATTATTGGCACTATCATTACAATTATATTGCTGTTATCATTATCATTTTATTATTATTATCATTATTATTATTTTTACTATCACTCATTATTATTATGATTATTATTATTATTATTATTATTGTAGGTATAAAATCAGCTGTCTCTACCCTTTGTGAACAGCAGACTGTCAGTCTGCAGGATCTTACAGGATCCACCACATGCTGTTATTTGTTTGTGTGTACATATTAAATACATCCAATATCTATCATTAATCTTCTAACTGGTCAATCACTGCAGTCTAAGGTCTGTTTTTTTTCAGACCAGAGGCAGCTTATAGATGAAATAACATTGCATTTTAACCAAAATCATGTCTCAAATTAGTTATTTCACTAGTAAGCAGCTGTGTAATACGTGGGATTGTCTGCTGAAAACATTAAGTAGAATTTGTATTTGGGTAGTAAAACTGGCATTTTTAAAATATCCAAGCATCCTGTGTCATAGCTACATGTGTGACGTTTTTAACAAATCAAACCGTTTGGAAATCGGTTGAAAACTCAGTGAATAATTCTACTTTGAGATTGTGGAGTACCTCTTACCTACGTAGATGTAAGTGCACTACCGCCTCTGCTAGCCCTGTACCAAAATGGCGGCGCTTTAGGCATGCCCCTCCACAGTCAATGCGGTATATGTACTGTATATATGTCTATGGTTTTATCTCCCAATCGCTCTAGTAAAAAGGATTAGCGTACTGTTAACATATCGTTACCACTGGAGAAAGGCGATTTCGGTTCAGCACCAGAAGCCATGCCTATAATTCACACAAGGTATCACGGGGACTGGGAATAAAGTGGATATAATAAATGTGCAACTAGCAAGTGCGCATAAATGCACTTGCTAGTTGCACCTTGAGAAAGTCTGGCAGATGAAAATATCAACATTCAAAATTCCAACTGGAAATATCCCAAATGAATAAATAAATTCATTAATAGCATATTAAATAGCCTAGTATTGTGTGACCAATGAGAGTCGTTGCCAAGACAACTTAAATATAAACTTAAAATATGCAGACCAGATTTTAGGATTTTAATTATGGACAGATCTATTTATCCACTGAGGCTGTACAGAGTGCGTCCCTGACACATCACATCACACCAGACTGTTATATGGCTATACATCCAGTAGTTGTTCAATATGGCCTGAATTCTGGGGGGGAAAAAAAAAAGGCTTGCCATAAACCCTGGCAGAAGCAATGGGCCATACAGACTTTATGCAACGGAAACACACACACACACACACACACACACACACACACACAAACCCTGTACATCTATCTTTGTCATTATGCATTCCATGGCCCCTTGCCCTCACCTTAACCATCAAAGTTAAGCTACACCCAACCCTTACCCTAACCTAAACCTTATAAGCTAGCATTAACCCTCATCAGGCCTTTGAAGAAGTGAAGACCAGCCAAAATGTCACACTTCTGAAGCAGTGTGTATGATACTGGTTTATCTTGGAGAAAAAAAAGAGAAAAAACAACTCTGACTAGGGTTGGGATCCGGATCCGGTTCTTTTTTGGAACCGGGTCCATCACATTTGGAGTAACGGTTCCTGCAAACGGTTCCTAGATTGTAAAAAAAAAAAAGATTTCTGTATGAACCCAAGCACTGAGTTTGTGTCACACAGTTGTTATGGTTACAGGCTATTTAACAGGCCAGGCGTGCACCGTGGGTGCCCCGGAGAGGGAGACCTCCGTGTTTGAGGCGGGAGCAGGCGGCGGGAGGTCCGCTTCCAGCAAGGGGAGCGGTAGAAACAAACAGCCAATGTGCGTGTGTGTTCTGTTCAGGTGTTGTCACGTAAATAACAGCGCCCAAGCATGAATGTATATAAGTATTTTTTATTACATTGTTGTGGTTAATTTGAGGTAATAGTGTTACTGTAGAAATCAGAGAATCACTTTTTGTTGTTATATATTCTCAGGGAGATGATACAAGCTCTAAATATGAAATACACACCACACACAAATGTGTATTTTCATCTAATTGTAGGCTACTGTGCAACAGTTAGAATAAAGTTTTTGTATTTGTATGATTGCATTTGTGTTTATTAGGGCTGTCAAAAAAATTCGAAGTTCGAAATACATTCGAATATATATATTTTTTATAAGTTCAAACCTAAATTTGATAATTCAAATATCATTAATACTATTAATAACATCATATATCACAGCGAATGCCGTTCGGGCGGAAATGGCTCACGCACAAGCCGGGCCAGAGAGGGACGCAGACCCCCAAATTCCACCAGATGCGTGTTGGTTGCGTCTGTGCACGCAGCGGATAACTAGCGCAGCCGTTCCGCAACGGACCCGCATCCAGTGGAATTCCTGCAAGAGATGGAGGGATAGGCACGGACGGAGGAGCCTGCTGCGCCAACANTTTCTGTATGAACCCAAGCACTGAGTTTGTGTCACACAGTTGTTATGGTTACAGGCTATTTAACAGGCCAGGCGTGCACCGTGGGTGCCCCGGAGAGGGAGACCTCCGTGTTTGAGGCGGGAGCAGGCGGCGGGAGGTCCGCTTCCAGCAAGGGGAGCGGTAGAAACAAACAGCCAATGTGCGTGTGTGTTCTGTTCAGGTGTTGTCACGTAAATAACAGCGCCCAAGCATGAACGCATATAAGTATTTTTTATTACATTGTTGTGGTTAATTTGAGGTAACAGTGTTACTGTAGAAATCAGAGAATCACCTTTTGTTGTTATATATTCTCAGGGAGATGATACAAGCTCTAAATCTGAAATACACACCACACACAAATGTGTATTTTCATCTAATTGTACTGTGCATCAGTTAGAATAAAGTTTTTGTATTTGTATGATTGTATTTGTGTTTATTATATACTTGTTTAAGTATAGCAAGTATAATGAATATAATGTAGGAATCGGTAAGAGGAATCGGTAAGGAATCAGAATCGTTAAAATCCTAACAAGTCCCAACCCTAACTCTGACCCTTCCTCTGTTTAACAATTCCACCTGCAACACCAACATCATTCCCCTTTCTCTTCACCATGATTACATGTTGTGGAAAGTAAAAACTAGAATTATCACCTCATGGTTGTATGCCTCAGCAAACCAATCAAGTTGCAGTTACAGTTTATATCTTTGTCTGTCCAGACTCCTATGTTGCCATGACAGCAGATAAT